GTTATTCATCAGGGGAAAGAAATCCACAGGAGATTTCACCGCCAGAGCCGTTTAACATTTGCACATTTATGTATACCAGTGGCACTAGTGGGGATCCAAAAGGAGTTGTACTTAACACATGAAACAATTGCAACATTCGTATATGGAATGGACCTCTTTATGGAACAATTTGAAGATAAGGTGAATGCAATGCCTAGATATCCCAAAAAGTTCTGTGTTTCATGGTTTACATGCTTCTTATTTGGACTGCATTATTCTTCTTGCATGTCTCGTGCATCTGATGTTTTGTTTTTTTGGGGGCTCGACATAGATGACAGTGGATGATGTCTATCTATCCTTTCTTCCACTTGCTCATATCCTAGACCGTGGTATTGAGGAATATTTCTTCCATAAAGGCGCTTCTGTTGGCTATTACCATGGTGTAAGAAATAGAAACTCTCTGCTTTGTGATTTGGATCTGATTTTGTAGTCAGTTTGAGGAGGATGAAAAATAAGAGAATGATTAAAAAAGCGAAAACAAAGTTGAGAATAATATATATATTATAATACTAATTTGTTATTGAAACTTAAATGTATTATCTTGAAGGACTTAAATGCATTGCGGGATGATATAATGGAGTTGAAGCCAACATTTTTAGCTGGTGTGCCTCGAGTGTTTGAAAAAATTCATGAAGGTATAATATATGTCTTCACGAAACTCTGTAGGTTCATTCATTTTGAAGATATTGACTTGTACCGTCAAGCATCATCTTCATTTTAGGGATAAAGAAAGCACTAGACGAACTCAACCCAATAAGAAGGCGAATTTTTGATGCTCTGTACAGATAGTAAGACAGTCTTTTGTTTACTTTTCCTCGTCTTTCCAGTGATAAAAATAAATGCAAATGTCTTTACTCCAGTTTATTTTGTTGTGTCTTACAGCAAACTTGGCTGGATGAATCGTGGATATAAGCACAAAAATGCTTCACCTTTGGCCGATCTGTTAGCGTTCAGGAAGGTTGCATCCAATCGAGTCTAAACTTTTTACTTTTGAACTGACAAATTGACCTCATACCCATGGCAGATCAACAATTACCATCAAGAGCCCAACTTTTTTCTCACGAGATGAATTGATTAACCTTTAGGAAGCCCATGTCTTGATTTCCTGAAGTGTTATTTTTTTCTATACTTTTTCTGTATTAGGTCAAAGCTAAGTTGGGTGGTCGCCTTCGATTAATAGTATCTGGAGGTGCACCGTTGGGTTCCGAGGTAGAAGAATTCTTGCGTGTCACTAGCTGTTGCTTTGTTGTCCAAGGCTATGGTAAAGACTTCTTTTTTACGAAATCTAATATACCATTGTGCTTAGACTGTTCTTTTGTATCACAAAATGATAGTAGTTTGAAATCTTTTATAGAATGAATACATTGACCAATTTTCATTCTGTTCATTCAGGATTGACAGAAACTTGTGGACCAACTACTCTTGGATTTCCGGATGAAATGTGCATGGTTGGTGCGGTTGGTCCTCCAGCTGTCTACAATGAGCTCTGCCTATAGGAGGTTCCGGAGATGGGCTACAATCCGCTCGGGGAACCCCCTTGAGGTGAAATATGTGTTCTGGGAAAGACTATTTTTACTGAGTATTAC